ACTCTCCACAAGAGACCATATGACACAGAAATTGACAACAATAGAAGACGTTACTAAGTTGAAAAACTTGTGTCTAATCCATTTGTCATTTTTGAACAATAAAATATGTTTAAACTAACAACTATAGGTCACCGTACGGGCTTCGAAGCTAGAATACAGTGTTGCTGTTTACTGAAGTTACTCTTAGACTAGTAGCTCTGTACTGTTTTCTTGATGTTGGAGGTCCATAATATTTTTTTGACGGTGTTGTCCATGTACCATTTTGTAGATCGTACTTCTTGGGCATATGTTTTATATCGACACGCAACTAGAACTTTGGCTATTTTTCAGTTTAAGTTGTCGTCAGCTAGCAATTTATCTATTCTTTTTTCGGGCTGATTACAGATGTTGTTCAATAGTCCAAGTACTCGGATATGTAGTTGGGCTTCTGCTGGTAGTATTCCGTTTAGGATGTTGATAGTAACATCTGCTACATAAGTTGGTAATGAGAGTATAAGCTTATTAGTAGCTTTTTCTGGAAGTTTTCGATTAATTCTGGTGAACTTGTTTTTGGTAGTTTTTATCCATAACTTATCCATAGAGAAGTACTGGAGATACGTAACACGAATGACCGAATGACACTTGGAATGACCGTATGACACATGAAATTTTAATCTTAGTTTAAACAGTATTTATTAATGAAAAATTTTACAAGAATAAAGTATTAAAATATTACATGAAGTTTTAATCTAAGCACATATATGTGAATTTTAAACATTGATTTATAAATAATAGTACATTAAAAGTGTATGTTATAACTAAAACATGATTTATTTAAGCAGGCAAGTTCATAAAATGTTAATATGATTTCGTGGATACATCTGTTCCTGATTGCATATATACGATCGCTCAATGTGTTCAAGTTGGACTACCAAAGTGGGGCCCTCATTTGTAAAATATATTATAACTCACTGACACTCCATGAATTGAAATGTATTACATTTAACAGTCAACAAAAATTATTTTAAGTAATAATTTTGCGGTACGTTTTAAAACCGCTCAGGGCCTCCTGAGTGCACTCAGGACATGTAATAGATATTTTAGTGGGCGTTGAGGGTATGCGTCCGATAAATTATTTATTTTTTTATCTTAATATTTTTGTTTGAATAAAATTAATTGAATATTTCAGAAGTTATTGAAGTGTTTATTAACACGCGCCGTTATTTGGAATATGTCATGCATGACCGATGATCATATTCGATACCAATTATCATATTGATTAGGTCTATACAAATCCTTAATTAGGTCGTCTGATCTTTAGTAATTAGTGAAGGTAATCAACACATACTAGTTAACCAAGCAAGAAAGGTTTTCTTAGAACAAAAATAAAGATAAAAGTTGCAAAAAATGTTAAATAAACGTTTCGTTTTGTTTGTAATAATATTAAAGCCATTTGAGAATTTTAAGAAATCCATTCAGTTTATTTAATTTGAAAACGTTAACAAATATAGATCTAATTCATTGCAAAGTGTGGCGTCCTTCAGGGATCAAAACCCCGTTTTAACAACGTTTGTTTAAAGGTTAATTATGCATTGGCCACGTGTCGTTAAAAAACAAACTGATTAACAATATAATAGAGTTGTAAGGTAATAAATATTTCAGGTATTGGGCATTTGTCATTATCATGATTAGATTATCTAATTGACAACAAACACTTTATACAACTTACCAAGTTAGTACTAAAATGTAACACTTTGCAATAAATGGATGATAAATTCCTGCACCATATTTTACTCTTTTAATAGGGAAAATTAAGGAAAGAAAAACGGCGCGTGATATTTTTTTTTTTAAAGATTATAACTTTCTAAAAGAAAACTCATTAGAACTTCGAAATGGTGTATTTCAACTTTGCTTAACTTATTTCAACATTTTAGTTATTTGTCCTAGTTAATTGTGCGGATGCCAGATTTATGTAACATATTTCACTATCTTCATAAAGACAAATACGGATATAACATTCAAATTCTCTTAAAAAAAAACTCTCAAGACAAACTTCTAAATTCTAGATCCCTCTGATCTTCATTATTATCGGTACACTTGTCATACATGTACATCCTGAATAAATCAATTGTTATTTTTATCAAATTTGGAAATTTAAAACTTCTAAAACGTTTCCCGTAAGAGCGTAATCTTTCATTCTTCTCTATCTGTATAGATGCACCATTGCATCTATATCTTATCCCTTATGACCATGAAATTTTCCTCCAATGTGTCGTGGCTTTCTATTGGCTACTTTTTTCAGTTAATCGATTTTCTCAAAATTCTCAGATAATCCCGGATTATCTCAGAATTTTCAGATAATCCCGGATTTTCTCCAGTTAATTATTTATCTAATTTTGTGAGGAATATAATGAATTATCTCAAATATGCATTAAGCTGAGAAAATCCCGATTTATCTTAAAATTCTGAGATAAACCGGGATTATCTGAAAAAAATCGAGATAATCCCGGTTTATCTGAGCTTAATGTAAAATAGTGAGATAATGCTAGTTTATCTGTAATAATCCTAGTTTATCTGAGATAATCTAGGATTATCTATAAAAGTGGTTCAGGCGTGCCATAAATATGTATTTGTATTCTTTAATTGTTTCATTAATTAGATATCAATGTTTTACCAGATGTTTGGAAATTGAGTACGATTATGACAAAAATTTAAAGTCGTTGAATGTGCATTCATCATAGTTTACAGTGCTCCTACTTGGTTCAAATCTTAACATAAAATTACAAAGTAATTAATGTTCTGAGACTCTTAATTACCTTTCCAGAGCACCTGAGATCACCCCCGATTTCTGGTGGAGTTCGTGTTACTAAGACTTTAGTTTTCTATGTTGTGTTTTATAGGTTGTTGTTTGTCTATTGGTTATTTTTCGTTTTTTGCCATGACGTTGACAGTTGCCCTCGACTTATGAGTTTGCATGTCTCTTTGGTATCTTCCATCTCTCTTTTGTAGAGTTTGAGTTTGAAAATTTCTACGAATGGAACAAGTACTCAGAAACCATTATTATATCATTTGTGCAATAAAGACAGAAAAAATCAGAACTATTATACATATTTGTACCACATCTTCTTATTTTTGTATAAAAAAACAACAATAAAACAAAAACAAAAAGACAAACAACAGTCAGCAGAACACAAACATTATGAATGTGAGAAAAGGCCCGGATGAACTAAATAGCTTTAGGAAGGCCTGAAGTTCTTGCTATACTAGTGACGCTTGTTGTCTTGTTCAGTAAATATCCAAGAATATTAAGTCAAAATTCTATCTCATGACATTAGTTAGCAAATTCATAAGATATTAGTACATTTCTTACCATTAAACCACGATCGAATCTGTAAGTTTAAAATGAATATACGATACGTTTTTTATTCTTTCAAGTCACTCTCAAGGTGTTCACTTAGAATTCACATTGAACTTCCTGCTTTTTTTATTTAATGAAATATATTATTGCGTATAAAAAAATCTACGGAAGCGTCTTAGTTCCACTCGAAATTTTATCTTTCCTTAGTATATTTCTACCCATTTTTTACGCAAACCTTTGCTAGAAAATGCAAACATTTAACAGATATCGGCATAATCTTGCAATTCTTTGCATTACTTTGCAAATATTTTCATTATTATGCAAAGGTTTGCGGTATGTCGTACATGTTTGCATTATTGCAACGATTTGCATTATGTTTGCTTTATCTTGCAAAAATCTGCGTTATAACGCAAATATAGGAAGAAACTAATAAAAAAAAATTATCTGTCGCTAATACGCTTCTGTAGAAATCCACACATACATTTACAAAATAAACTAAAGTTTGGAGTTATTATGCATACACCATAACTATCAGATTCGTAAAAGTTCGGAAAATCAAACGAAAACAAATATATAACGCTGATCAAGTCCAAACCAAATACCAAAATATACTCCTGTAGACGGTTATATATCTTATCATTAAGGGAAATTTGTGAAATTAAAGGGACATAACTCCTCTAACAGTGCTGCTAAACCCAAATAAATTTGAGACAAATATCAAGGACCCAATACCATGTTAGTCCATAACTTCATGTACAAAAATTAAGATGTCAACTTTGTCACGAAGCGGATTCGCAAACTTGTCCCAAACAGTGTTATTTGACAAATGTAGAATCGTATACACCGATTTAACTATATATTCACGTGAAAGGTTAGAAGACAAGATTTTAGGATTCTGAGACCGTGTTGAACTTAACTGTGTTATTGCGTCCTGTTGCTATAAAATTATGAAATGTACCGATACCGATATTATTTTTAAATAAATGGGGAATGTGTACATGGGTAACAGATGATGCCCCCGCTTGCGTATATCGTTATAAAGGGACATAACTCAAGAACGGTAAAAGTGACGCTACCCAAATTCATACTTGGTCTGAGTTTTGTATTTATAAGCATTGTGTATAAGTTTCATAACATTTGGCTGTAGCAAACTTAAGTTAGAGATCGGAAACAAAAAATTCGGCATTTTTTTAATTTGTAAAGGGGCATAACTCTAGAACAGTAAAAGTGATATGCCAACAAAATTCAAACTTGATCTGTGTTTTGTGGTTATAAGCATTGTGTATAAGATTCATAACATTTGGTTGAGGCAAACTCAAGTTAGAGAACGGAAACGAAAAATTCAGCAATGTTTCTATTTGTAAAGGGGCATAACTCTAGAAAGGTAAAAGTGACGCAACCCATATTCAAACTTGATCTGTGTTTTGTGATAAAAAGCATTGTGTATAAGTTTCATAACATTTGGTTGAGGCAAACTAAAGTTAGAGAACAGAAACCAATTCCGGGACGTACGGACGTACAGACGGACAAGGGTAAAACTGAATGCCCCCTCCGCTACGGCTGGGGCATAAAACTTGCCTGTACTAGGATATCAATATTATTGTGAATACTATGATATCAATTCCTTTTTAGGCTGTAATAAAAAACAAAGAGAAAAGCAACATTAACAATAAAACTCTGTATCGGCAATCATTGTTGTAAAAAAAAAAATCTGTTCACACAAATATATATTATCATTATAAAATTCATTCAACATTCATAACAAGAAAAGACGGTTGCTTCAGTAAGTCAGTAGTATGTTGTAGATGAAACACAACATACTAAGAATGATAAATGGTTGTTTCTGATTAGAGCCACTTGTGCTCTCCCCTTCGGGAATCAAAGCAATGACTCGCGCTGGACTTCCACTTCCGTCTTCAGTTTTCATAGCTCCTATTGAAATTATAGTCCCACTGGCCGGTATTCTGTCCAAATAAGCTACGTTTTCCAAACCGCATATGTTTTCAGAACTGATCAGAACATGAACAGGAAATTTTCTGCTCTGTCCGTAATCCAAAGATGGGGAGTCTACACCAAGTACGTGAATGGTGCGGTGTGCCACCATCCAGGCTACCGTGTCTTCGTGCCAAGATGGAAAGTGAAAGGTCTTTGTATCAAGCGGATCTTCTGTGTGGAAAACACGTTTCTTATCAGGATACTTTTCAAACCAACCGGAGTTCATAATAACTATAGCGCCATTAGGTATACGCCCATTATTCTCTTCCCATTTTTCTATATCAGCTACAGTTACCCGATAGTCGGGATCATTTTTTACATTGTCTTTTACATCAATTATGACTCCTGGTCCAACTAGGTGGTCAATAGGTATTTGATGTGTAGTCCAGGAATATTGGTTGAAATGAACAGGTGCGTCCAGATGGGTTCCAAGATGCTCTGTTGTTTTAAGTGTATATGCAGCTACCCTGGAAAATATTGTCAGGATTTAATTCATGTTTAATCTCAAATTTGTTGATTATAGATTATAATAAATACGCTATTGATGGAAGACAATTATTTGATCGATAGTTGATTGTAGATTGCTGACGTCGTGTCTGGACAAAAATCACGGACACAATGTCATATACAATGGTTAACTAATTACAAACTGTTCGTTTGAAAACTAGAGGCTCTAATGACCCTGTGTCGCTCACCTACATCTTCAACAATGGCCACTTTTGAGTAAAAATCGTCATTTAAGGGGAATTACTCTATTCTGAGTTAACTCACAAAATCAGGCAGGTTACCGTATTTGTAGATTTTTTCCATCTGATCATTATCCTGTTAAAATGTTTCTATTTGATCATGATCCTGTTAAAATGTTTCTATTTGTCTATTATAGTTTTCAAGACAATAGCGGAAAATGGTAAAATTAATCAGTAAAGGGCAATAATTCCAATAACGAGTCGACTGAAGATTTAGGCCATTATGGCATATTTTTAGATCTTGTCTTGCTTATCATTTTTGTTTTAAAATTGTCTATCTATTATTGGCAAAAATGCAAAAATGGGAAAAATTGTCATTAAAGGGCAATAACTTAAGTACAGAGTCAACTAACGATTTCGGTCATGTTTGACTTATTTGTAGATCTTGACCTGCTGATGTTTTTTTTTTTCTTTTTTTTTTTTTTTTTGCTTTTTACAATTTTTATCTATCTATTACGGTATTCAAGATAAAAGGCAAACATGCAAATAATTCGGAAAAAATCGCCACTAAAGGGCAATAACTTCAATAAGGTGTTGACTGGCGATTTCGATCATGCTGACTTAATTGTAGATCTTGTCCCGTTGATCATTTTTGCTATTTTAAGTTTCTGCCTATCTAATATAGTTTTCGAGATAATAGGCAAAATGAAGAAATAAAATGGTAAACTTCGTCGCTTAAGGGCAGTAACTCTTATAAGAAGTCGTCTGACAGTTTAATTTCAACAGAGATTATGTAGATATCCTTATCTTGAACATTTCTGCTCCATCAGATTTTATTTATCTATAGCGATTTTCAAGACAATAGACAAAAATTCCAATTTTAGTCACGTCGGCAGGCGGGGTGATCGGACACATTTTTTAAACAAAGTGCCTTATCGATGACTGTGGTCAAGTTGGTTAAATTTGGCCAAGTAGTTTCAGAGATGATCTATGTAAAGTTAACGGACGACGGGAGAAAGCGATAGACGACAGACGCCAAGTGATGACAAAAGCCCACACTGGCCCTTCAGGCTAGGTGGGCTAAAAATGGATTTCATTTCTATAATTGATTTACAACAACTTCAATGAAAGGATCGAAGCTTGCATTTGTATGGAGTTCATCTGGAAAGTTCGGACGACTACATTGCTTCGAAGTTGTGATCCACCCATATACCTGTCACAATTTACGTCGCAAAACAATGATGCTACTGACTCGAAAATTACCAGTTAACCAGTTGCTAGCATTTACGTAAATTGATATCCGGTAGATAGTTGTGTCATTGGCAATCATACCCTTTCTCCTTATTTTTATAAGGACTCCGAAATCAGAAACTCGTGGAAAATGAGGGGGATAATTATAGTCATGTTTTTTTTCCTAGTTTGTATTGTGATAATAATAAATAATTCAAATTGTCTTTGCTATCTTTAACAATTAACGCAATTGGCAATTTCATGAATCGCTTTTCTTTTAGGATATTCGACGAGAAGCTCCGATGTGAAAATTAGCAAGCTTGAAAAAGAAAAATATGTGTTAGAATTTGAGAAGATTGACATTTTTAAGAAACTCATAGCATTTATATAATTAGTACTTTATTTGTTATATAAGTGCAAATATAGGAAGACAATATCTCCAAGTCTGTTGCTTTAAACATTTTTTTTTCGCATTTGCGTTCCGTACTTCATTCCCAGACTATTTCGAACATTTAGCCTAAGTGAAAATTTCTGGTGAATATTGAATTAACTCACCATAAATCGTCTCCATATTTCCCTCTCTGACTATAAATGAGCTCATATCCCGTATGTGTTGGCCAGTAAATAGAGTCGTTTCCATGAATATGAGTCAGGTCCACAACTTTGTAATCAAAGCAATGCCCACTATATAGTAGCACAGTAAACGTTGCTAGGATGAATATCGCCATTACAGTTTATACAAACTCTGCAACATTATCTGTTTAAACCAAATTATCGCGAGAAGTTACCGTCTGTGTCATGTAAAGTAGGTGAGTGTCTATATAAACAAACGGAATTTGTAAAGCTTACCTAGACCATAGAGCTACGAGAGCTATTTTTAATCACTTGCATCATTCAATGGGTTTTAACAGGTAGCACTGAAATCCCGTGTAAGAATTCCTCATTTGGTTACGATCGGATGAAAGCTTTACCGCCAGAGGAAATGATTGATTCTTTTGGCAAAATTATAAAGAAAATCTCCATTTCGAAACCTGCAAGGGAAAATGTATTCAATCTTTGGGAGATTGATGATTTGAACATCCTTTATAAAGTAAACGATCATATTCGTTTTCGATTCATTTCAATGATCGGATTAAACGCAGTCGCCATTTGCATTTCATAGCTCTTATTTAAACCGTACAGAAAGTCAAATTTATAATTTCATCTATTTATCTATTTGACAACATTTAATCCAACTTTTTAGGAATGATGTATGGAAATTCCTTTAAAATCGTCCTCATTTTGTTACGACCTGGTGAAAATCCTTTTTTGGTTTCGCAAATGTTACAAAATCTTTTATGTAACAACAAGGCGCAATGTTTTGAGATTGATCATTGATCACGGCTACTAAAATCAATTAAAATTTACTGTTGATCGGATTGAGATAATGAACAAAAAAACGAAGTGTCTACAAAATTAAGCCACATGATTTTTTAACACACATAAGTCAATATAATATACTAGATAAGTATACAATCCAGGTGAGCAGATACAGTTTCCTTGGGCCTCTAGTTTACAGTAATTTATTAGTGTGTTTTTCAAGGATCCGGTCACTTAACTATGCTTTGCTGGTATAAACATTTGCAACCCTGACACTGAAGAGCTATCATTAATCATTAAGATGAAGGTTTTTATAAACAAAACATGTGATTTAATGAAGAGAGATTCCTCAACACATTCAACAAGGAACGATATCAGTAATATATCATTGAAGATTTCTTTTCCGAATGTTTATCAAAAAGTGTATTTATATAAGTGTAATCATCTTCTTGAAATGTTGAAGAATTTTTAATCAAACTATTAACTCAACATGTTCAATGATGCTAATAATTGTCGTTGAAAGTTTTTGATTTAATATCATGATTTATCTTAAAACTTTCGTGAATTGTTCCGCGGAACTCTGTGTCTCGATTGCTATTGCTGCTGTCAGAGTAAAAGTGTAATGTAGACTGCCTAAAACTAAATCCTTTTAAAATACAGGGGGGGGGGGGGGGGGGGGGGGGGGTGTTCTTCAGATAATACTTCTTGATCTAGAATCTGCTTCTGTGTCATTTGGTCTCTTGTGGAGAGTTGTCTCGTTAGCAATTATACCACATCTTCTTAATTTTATATTTAACCCAGACTGTTTCGTCATGTAAACTGCAATAACCTAAGTCAATGTATCTGTAAGATACAGAAAATTTAAAAAAATCAAACTTTTGCATGTCGAGCGAAGGGAAACAAATTTTGGACGATTCTATACTCAATTTTATAAATATCGTAAAAAAACAACATGATGATATTTTTTGCCGATCAAAGGAGGGACGTACATCGACGATGACGGAATATAAGATCGCTATGTCTCGCTTTCGTAAGCTACGAAAGTCCACAAGATAAAATTATTTCAATACTAAACGAAAGTAATTATGGCAGACAGCAAGCAGTGACGTCTACTGGATTACAGGCTCCTGACTTTAGACTTTGCGACAGGGTTACACATGTTTAAAAGTGTTCAGTCCTTCTTTAACCTGGGACACTGGTGTTACAATACAATAAAATACTGAAATGGTATGTTGTGGGCTGAAGTCAAGGTCATCTACAGATGTAGAATTGCATTGTTTGCATGTTTTTATCTATCAAGAAGGTATATTAGTTCTTTCAGAAATAAACATTATACATACAATTGAAATTAATCGTCATCTATAAAACCTAAAAGATTCTTGCAAATTATTATAAAAAGATCCCTGTTGTTTAAAACGACGAATTTACATATTTGTATGGGTAAATAAATCACTGTGTCTAAACTACCCCAGCAACAAATGTTTGGACTCAATGGTATCTAATATCCGGTACGGTAACGGACCATCAACAGACAGAGAAAAGGTAGGATTTCTGTTTATTTATTTGTTATTTTTATAATATTGAAGAATATAAATACATATAAACTATTTTCGATCACTGTGACAAGTAATATTTTCTACAGCCGTTCACAATGTGTAAAAAGTAAACAATTACAGGTATAAGACTATTCTTATAGAAAATATAAATTGTCACTTTAAGAAGTCCCTCCCCATCCCCCCCCCTCCCCTCCCCCCAACTTTTCATTCTACTCCTACGTCACTGATATGTATCAAAGAAATAAGCAATATTTTCACTCGCACACAGATTGAAGAATTGAGAAGTGCTAGTGTTAACGGAAAATCCCTATTTTATTAAAGACTAAATATTTCCAAACATCGTAGTACATAAACTGATATGGACATTTTTGTATTCAATCTGTTTAATTATGCAATGGTCTATTAAATGCAAAATGTATTATTTTCTTATCAAAAACGTTGTACAAGTCAGATACAAAACAAAAGCGACAAAAGAAACGGTATAGTAACAACCGGCCATTTAGTTTTTTTCTGCACTTGTAGTCAGGTCAAGGTCCTCGGCTACCGCCTCGAACATTGACTTGACCACCCGTGCAGAAAAAAACTATACGGCAACGGTTGTTTCCAGCCTGTTTTTTTATTACCTTTGTTTTGTATCTAATACCTAATGCAAGTTTTAACACTTGACCACGCACATAACATAGCCGTGGGATTTTTAACTTTTCCCCTATTTTCAGATTCAAGAACTTTGTATCTTATTTGGACCCCAAACCATATTTCAACCCCTCGATTAGCCTTCACCTATACTCAACATCTTCACTGTCAGAAACATATGAAACCTGAAATCACTTTTGGACCTTTCTGTTTCATATATAAAAGACTAGAATTAAAAAATGTCACTGTTTGATCACCCCTGGTCCATCATATCAATTTGGTCCAAAAAATATAATTCCCGTACTGTTATCTATACTCCTTTACCTTACATTTGATATATGACAATGATTCAAGAATTTTATTTTGACCTTTGGTACATTTGGACCCCAAAACCTGGTCTAACCCCTCTTTTTGCCTGGATACAGATGCAACTATAATTTCAGTACGGTCCAAAAAATGTGAAATATAATATTCTTAGACGTTTCATTTGATATAGAACATGATGATTCAAGAACTTAGGCTTTTGGTACATTTGGACCCTAAATCAGGGTCCAATCCCTTGATTAGCTTAGATCCAGACGCAACATTTTAGTACAATCCAAAACATGTTAAATCTGAAACCCTTACTCTTCATTTGATTTATGAAACTATGAAGAAGTCTGTCTTGGTACAACCCTGGTCTACCACATCCATTTGGTCCAAAAGATATGGATCCCAAACAATGGTCCAACCCCGCAATTTTATAAATCTACATCTGTTATTTGAAGATATGACCTGCTTAATATGATTCCAGAAACACATTAAATGTTGGCATAGCTAATGATGTAACAAATCTATAAATAACCTGATTAGTAAGCATCGTCTGTCGGCCACTTTGCAGAGCAACAACAATCTATTTATAAATAACACTACAGGTCATACGCCTGGAAAATAAATGTTCACACGCTTTTGTGTAACATTAATACAGATGCAATTTATAATTCATAAGCAATTTTATTAGGAAACAGAAAGTGTAATAAAGAGTATTTTATATAAAACTACACAATCACACTGTAATTTAATTTGTGGAATGAGCTAGAACTAGATTTTAGAGTTTAAAGTTCGTCATAACGAAAAGCCCATTGCACAATCAAATTCATACAATTAATTTCTGGATTCATATCATTAATATGAATAGCGAGAGTATGGTAAAGAAAGCATACAGTGAAAACTTTTACATGTCTAATGGTTTTTGTAGTAAAATAAAAGTGTTATTAGGTAAACTTGGTTTTCAGCATGTTTGGGAAAATCAAAATACTATGTCAAAGACAAAATTACTTTTTTCAGTTCAAAAGAAATTAGAGGAGGAATTCATAAAATCATGGAAACAAGCTCTTTTTGTGACTCTAATAAAGATAGTAATGGTAATAAACTAAGAACGTATCGCAAAGTTAAAAATAATTACGAATTAGAAAAATATCTCCTACTGGACCTTAACAAAAAATGTTATTTCTAAAATGGTAAAAATAAGAATTAGTAATAGCAAATTACTAATAGAAGTTGGTAGATATACTAGAACACCTTTAGAACAGAGAATTTGTCCACTTTGCAAGATGGAATTGAAGATGAATTTCATTTCCTCATTAAATGTAAAGCGTTAGAATTTAATAGAAATATACTCTTTTGTAATTTAAGTGATATAGTTCCATCTTTTGTTAATATGTCTGAACAAGATAAATTTAGTTTCATTTTGAAAAGTAATGAATCTGACATTTTTACTGTATGTGTAGCTGGAATAAGCGATATGTATGATTCGAACATTCATTTAAAGCAAACACAATGTTTTTAAGAACTGTTGTAGTATCACAGCTTATTGTAATAGCTTGAAGTGATAATATAGTATGAATAACACCTCCACGCAATGTAGATATAAAATATGTGTCTCTTATCATTGAGAGAACATATCTCTGTATATTTGTTTTTTGTTTATTTTTGTCTGTTTTTGTATTTGTATTTTGTAAATGTCAGCTGGTATCATTCTTGTATTCGAATTTACACCAATAAAATTATTTGATTTGATTTGATTTAATTTATTCTCGCCAATATATCATCTGCGTAGGCCTAAGGGCATACGCGAAAAAAACTATAAATATAATCATTTAATGGATTTTAACAGACTTTACAATTAGCAATTATCACTAACAGGACTAATGCAATTTTGTACTTTTGTTGAAAGTATGACATTTCACACTACTTTTAATTTTAAATCATATGTGTGGTCCTGGGATTAGCTAGTGCATGTTTGATTTTCAGTTACTTAACATTGATGTTTATTACCGATATCTTACGTTTTAATTATGAAAATTGATTTATTTTATTTCTTTTTATAATTGCATACGCTTTATCATGTTTATCGTCCAGAATATGAATGTAATATTTGCCGCATGACGTTAAGTATAATACTCAATCAATCATACAATCAGGTCATTATTTACCCTATTAAAATGCAAACTACAGAATACTTAAACATTTAATTCGTGTGTTGTGGTGTC